AAATTATTTAGATAATATGTATAGAAAGTTTTTTAATAAATTAATGAATTGTTTATTTTAATTAGCTACTGGTTGTAACCATATTTTTATGTTTTAGATAAGTATATCCAAGATCTTTAACTTAATTTTATTGAAAAATTTGTTAGATTATAAAATGGATTAGAAAATTATTATAGATTCTTTTTTTTGAATTTTAGTTGTATAAATTCTCTTAATTCACATAACTAGTGATCTAATTAGAATGATCTATCAGGAATTCAAAGGGACTATCATCAGATATGATTTAATTAGACTTAACTTTCTAATATTTAAATCTTTTTATTGACATATTAACTAATGATTTGTTATGATTATTCATTCTGTGTATAATTGATTTAATCGAATCTATAAAAGAAATTCTTTTTGAAGAAAAGATTTTGCTATAGATTTTGGTATTAGGTTAATTTTTCTTCTTGATTAAGTATAAAGAATTTGGTTTTGGATTCTTGGTCAAAATTTGTTGAGAAACCTCCTCAAAATCAATAGCTTTAAATTCAAAGAATTCTAAGTAACCTCATTTGCTGATTTTGAAGCACTTCATAACTAAACATGATTCATTAGAAATATAATCCCTCTCTAATATCTGTTAAAACCTAATTTAAATAATCTAACATTTTGAAGAATGTTCATTACTTGATTGTTTTATATAGTTTAATCAATCATTTTTAAATAATTTTTACTCACAAATTATACAATTTAATTGATTAAGTTTATAATTTTATATAATTAATGAAAATCCTCTATTTATTAGTTGTTGATAAATATGGCACTATAAATTTTAGTCAATTTATTTCTTTTTTATTGGAACTAAGGAAGAGTTCATTAAACATTAAATAAGAACATATTTATCTTCAATTATATAAGCTTATATAATTATTAATAAATTTTTATATGTAAATTCTTCAAATAAATAGTATAATTAATTGTAGCCTCAGTTTAAGATTTTTTTACTAAAATCATTTTTATTTGTTTAAATAATGGTAATATGTATTGATGAAAATGAGTTATCGTTAATCCACCATTATATATTAATTTCTAATAGTGGAGATAAAAGGTTTTTATAAATAATTTCTGATTCTTATTCTTTAGTTTATCAAATTAAACCTAGCTTAAATTATATTTCTTAAATTTGTTAACAACCATTTAATTATTTAATTACATGTAATTCCTGTATTTCCTTCTTTTGAATATTTTCATTGGA